ATACACACAAAAAGAAAATGGATAAATAAATTGTGAAAAAATACAAAGGAAATGGTCAGACAGCAACACTAGTAACAGTATTTCAGGATATGGAATCATGCATTTCTGTCACACCAAAATGCAAGCAACTGCAAGCCAAAGATTATGAAGAAATAATTTCTGGGTTTCAAACACAAAAAGTAAAAAAAAGGTTTTCAAATCCAAAAACAGTTAGAAAGGTTTTAAAAAAAAAAAAGTAGCTGAATTTAGTACCGTGGAACAATCTTATTAGGGGAAAAAAAAAATTCAGACAGAGAGAGACAATAAAGAACTAGAACACATTTTGATAAGAAATGCGGGTGGTTAAAAATATTTTAATTTTTCTGTACTAATTTTGAGTGGTGACAAAGGTTTTCTTCAGCATTAAGTTATTTAAAACATTAACCTGCTTTTTAATATAGAAAGCTACATTTGAACATGCTTCTGCACCTTCTTTTTGTAAGAATTTAAGTGCAAGCTATTGAAGAACAGCCTTATTTGAAGAAACAATCTTCACTTGCCTTGAAGTAGCACACAGGCTTAACAGAAACCCCAAATGCTTCCATTTCAGTAGTAGTTTCACTCATTAAATTTTCTGCTCACTGAAGATGATACTACTAAACATAATATTCTCCCTCAAACACTAATAACATGCCAATTAAAGTGTTTGAAGACTGATGTACGACCATTTCCCATAATTACCATCTTTGACAATTTCATATACTTTTATGAAATCTCCATTTTAACTGTTTTATTACTTACTGTTTGCAGATGGTAGGCTTCAGATGCCATTGTCCCATTTCTGAATTACAGTTATCATCTATAAGGCCACCATCATCACTACTGTCTTCCTACAGAAGCAACATGTTTACAGGTGTTTAAAAGCTAGTATTGTTTTTGAAACAGATGCAAAAGAAATTATTGCTGTACTTACCATTTTTATTCAAGACCAATAACAATTTTAATAAAGAGGTGGTAGCTTTAATCTGAAACCATCGTTTGTAAAGGTTGCATTACCAATTTTTAGTCACATGGTTTCTCAAATCCTTGCTGGAATGACACAGTGAATGGTGCTATTTATTTAATAACCACTGAAACTAGAAAAAACCTGCAACTGACATTTTTAAAGCATTGCTGGCTTAAAAGGGATGTATCTCCATTATCTGGTTATAATCCAAACTATACTTTCCCTGCCAATGATTACTAGGAACTTGCTTGGCAGTTTCATGTATATTACATTCTAGATGAAATGAGACTAAATCTGCAATGAACTCAGAATTAAAATTTGATCTTTGCTCCAGAATACACCAACTTGGTTTTCAGGGCAAGGAAAATTAAACTGCCATGAAATTATGGGTTGCAAAAACAGTTATGCCACAAACCTGGGAATATCCTTTGACTTTTCGATTTCAATATTGCTTGCTATGAAGGATATGTAAGTTTTATGAACAAAACCACTAAGTTATTGTATCTAAAACCATCCCAATGATCCATAGTTTCTTTCCCTTCTATTGAGTTCACTATTTCTACCACAGACCATTGTGTTACAGGGAAAAAGATGCTCTCCAAAAATGGGAATCCCTGCATTAGCATAATTTATGACATTTTTGGTGAGAATTCTGTACACATCACTAACATGCAGGATCCTGTAACTGAAATCCTCATGCTATGCCATGAAGACGTTCTCCTATTAGAAACTACTGCCCATTCAGGGAACTCTAACTGCTACAAAATAGAGGGAAAGGCACTTCCATCAGGTGAGAATCACAGACTGTCTGGGCAAGTGGCATGACAGGAGAGCTGGGTTGAGCCTGTATGAAGAGCATCATTAGATTTCAACACGAACTGGAGCTTTTATGTGTGTGCACACATATACATACTATTTGGAAGCCATTACAAATAGCTGCAGACTTTGGAAAATATTTTTTTGTTCTGGACTCAAAGGTGAAAAACAGGTAATTCCTAGACAGTATATTTGATAGCCTCCGATTCTTTATTTCGGACAACTTGGAGTCATACACCTGGAACATGAACAGGAAGGCCAATTAGGAAGAGTAAATGTGTAACTCCTAGCTTGCTCACATTGAACTTACATTGTAGAAGCAACAGGGCTACGGAATAATACCCTTAAACCCCGCAGTGAATCAGTAAAGGATATTTTAATGATCAGTCTTTCCACAGGTCTAAAACTTCTTCCAATCTGAGCAAGACCACCACTTGGTTACAAATCCATGCTGTTTAAATTTGATTAGGAGAAGCACCAATGAAACAAAACAGCAAAGTAGCACCTACGTATAAATGTGTCTGTTTATGTCCACAAAACAACAGCTGAAAGAAGAGTAACTTGTTCTTGGGTCTGGTAGGTAAACATGTGGGGTAAAGGAGATGAAAGGTAGAAATGTGTTGATTTTCAGAGTTTCCACTAAAATCACTGTCTAATATTGTCACTATGCAAGAGATTCACAAAATGAAATGTGGAATTAGTACAGCAGTTTCTATTATATAGTTTCATGAACGAATGTACAATCCTTTTCTGCCAGCTAATATGCAACTGTCTATGTAACCAGTGCTTTGGATTTGGCACTTCTAAAGATAACTAGTTTTAGGCTCATTTATAATGTGGACACAGCTTTTAAGCTGCCCATTCAAAATAAAAAACAGTTTACATTTCCCAAATAAAATTGCGAAATTCTTTACCTGGTTATCTTGGTCTTCAGAAAAATCTATAAGCTCATCTTCATTTAGTTTACTGCCATCAGCTGAGTCTTCACTATAGTTTAGCCTGATTTTGTGCAATCCATCTGTATCAATCACAGACAGCAGTATATTTAAACATCAAATACCATGTCATCATTGAAGACCAAACTCATTTTCAATACCTACGATTTCTTCAGGATTGCTCACAGTCACTGTGATACAGCTGACATATATTACATTCATGCATACGAACAAAAGTTTAAAGTTTCTTTTAAGTAACACAGCAGAAACTGTTCCTTATTCTGTGAAATGAGTAAAAATATTCTAAAGACAGACTAAAATCTATCACAAAATTACCCTGTAGTTCCATGAAGCCTTTACAACAGTATAAATTGCTACTGATACCAAAAGGGGCAGTCTCATTTGATCCCTCATATAAGCACTTATTCCCATTCCTTCCTTCCCATGGTTGTTCCATGATGCCAAATATATCCACACACTGTAGACCACACTGAGAAAGACAGTCACAAGCTTATTATTTTTTACTTTAATAATTTTCTCGACCAGATTCACTGTGCAGTTATATGAAGACTTGTGCTGGCAAAAGGAAAAGGCAGCTTGGGCATCCACTGCCAGGGAGGGCAGAATGCAGGATCAGCTCTCCTGGGAGCAGCAGCTTAGAAATGTTTGTGCAACTTCACTGTTTGCTACATAAAGAAAGTATTTGTAAATTCACTCCCTATCCTCTCTACGTATTTAGTCACCTGGGAAACTGCACCAGAAGAAATAAAGATTAATGAATGCTATAGCTATACCTGTGAAAGCAGCAGATACATACAGCTACAAGCTCAGTAGTCTTAGTATACTACCACGCAAGACTTTAGAACAGATTTTTGAGGGGAAAAAATGGAAAAATATGTGGAAATAAGTGAAAAATTAATAGCATGCCAGAAAAAAACAAAATTTTCATAAGAAAACTTTTCTTAAAGGGCTCTACAATATATCTAAACAATCACTAAAATAAAAAGTGTTGGTTATGGTGTCACTGGAGGATGTATTTCTTATTAAGGAAAACCAGGATTTCTATACTGACAGTAAAGAGGGCAATGAACTAGCTAATGGAAAAAATGGCAAAGACCTGCTTTTGAAAATACTTCAACAGAGAAGTTGAAGAAACACTTTGGAAAGAGGTTACCAGTGGAGCTCCACAGGGACAAACTTAGGAATTAGCCTTACTCAGTATCTTTGAAAAGACCTTAGCACAAGAAGTAGGCCATATACTAATATGACTTAGTACTACTCAACTGAACAGCCACTCTTCATCTGCTTTACGACAAGAAAAGGAGGTCTCCTGGTTTCATTGACTATACTATCAAAGAGGCATCTACTACCTTTTGAGATATCCTAGGATATCCAAAATATACCTATGGGTTTGGCAGAGTCAAGAATCAAAACCCACACCCTTCTGGAGCAACAGCTGAAGGCTGGGCAGAAAACCCAAAGCTTACATCCCCATCTTCCATCTGACTGAAATGGAAGTTTAGATACACAGCATATCTAAATTTAGATGCCTAAACATCTCCCAGCGTCAGTCTCAAACTGAATCTCACCCTTAAACCAGGAGAGTGACATATACAAACGTCTGCATTAATGAAAGGGTGCATCACTTGCAATAGCTGAGCAAGGCAGTCTGAGTGGTTTAGTCAGGAACTGAATGACCATCAGCCACCAATACAATCTGTATCTGAAGAGGATCCAAACCGTGCAGTGAACAGAGAAAACAATCTTTTCCTAACTCCTTCATCTACCTTTAAAAGTATGTCAGCTTACTTTGGTACAAACACTGTTCCAGAGCACTGAAATCAGCCTCCACAGCTGCAATGCATGAAGAAAGCCTCTCTAAATGTAACACAGAGGTCATGTGAATGATTTTTTTTTTTCCCTTTTTCTTTTTTACTGTTTTTACATACCTTCTCTCAGGACATTAAAGAACCTAATGGTATTGAAGCAAAACCTCAAATGCTGGAACACACTGAAATCAAGGCTGCTCATGCAATCTTAATTCAGTTCCTCCATGCACATACATTATGAGGATCAATAGTCAACTACTATTCTTTCCTTAACAATTACAGTCTTAAGTGATGCAAAGTGGTATCTACAAAACTATTTGTGTGAAAAAAGGTCACACAACTGAAAACTTAATCTGATTTAGGAAAACAGTTTTTTATCTCCGGCCGTTTGCCATGAAAGTTACGTCAACAACCACAAAAACACTTACTACTCAATGGCTATAAATTACTTATATTGCAAGCACTCAAACTTCAGCCACATACTGAACTTTCAAAGCTTGAAGTTTACACAACTGCAGAAGTAGTAACAGATGTGAAATCTCACAGTTTTTCATTAAAATGTGCTATTTTTACAATTACATACCCATAGATTGGCTAGCAGTTGTGAATTCACCCTGTATACCATTCTCATCCAGAGTCCTATGGTCTAGTTTATGGCATGCTGATTCCACAGTGTTAGGTTCTTCCACATCACTGTCTATTTGATTTAGTTTTTTGAAAGCACTTTTTCCCCTACAAGGACTTCTTCTACAACACGAAGACTCACTGTCCTCTGTTTCAGTGTTTGGGTCAATTAAAGCTGTATTATACTTTTTGGTCAACGTCTTCTTTGCTGTGGACTTGGAAGGTGAGTTTTGTGCATCTAATTCATTTGGCAAAGGAGATGGTGTGTTTCTCTCTCCATCTGAAGAGGGAGATTTTAGCTGTGTTGCAGCATTTTCATGATAGTGGGGATTTGGTTCGTATTTGGGTTTTTCTAAACCAGGAAAACAGATGACAGCCAAAAACCAGTGGGCACTGCAAAGGAAAAAAATACATTAAAAACTAGAGAATACATTAATGCTCATGGTTAAATCTGAAGTTGGTAATAAGCAAACAAAGTACTGAGTGTCCCTACGTGCACACACACACAAAACCACAAACCCTGCCTTCCACAGTTACCAAGGATAGATTGTAATAGCTGTTCACTTTTCTGAGCAGGTTTTACTCAAGCCTTTACAGTCTTCTCTAAAGGTAAGATCACTCCATTCAATGAGTCACCAACTCATTAATATGATGCAGTTAGTTGAAAACAGATGCTAAGTATTTATTTCAATTTGCTCATACTACTTACATTGTTTTCCTTCCTATAATTAAAGATTATTTCTTCTTTAACATTTTCTTTATTACTGCATGAGACTGATTGTAGAGTTCATGTTTTACGGCTCTATACAGTTTTCTGGTAGTTCAGCACTAGCAACACTAATCAGATCTAATGGTATAGCTGAATTGCCCATATTCTTTTGCCTATGAGATCTTCCAATTGTATATGACACTTGACATTTTTAAAGAAATCTTGTCAACAGTGAATTAAAAAAGGGGAGAAAAGAGTATTTGTAATGCCATCACCACAACTCTGTTGTCCTCTCTTTGTTTTCCCTTTGACTGACCCCTTCAAAGAACTGACATTCTAACCCTTTCAGGACCAAAAAGAGTTGTATCCCCCAACACAAAGTAAGTTTGCCCTCTTCCCTCTTCAGACTTCACTGACTTGCCACTAAATCAGAAATGGAGCAGCAGCAAATTCAGGGACTGAGGCACTGCATGTAGATACTGACTGACCCAATTTAGAAATTTTCTGAAGGTTTTCTGGTTCCCTACAGATTCCCTACAGCAAATAACAAAACAGAACCTAGCCATGTATTTTGCAGATGAAGACATATTTCAATGTGGTTTAGAAAAAAAAGGAAAACCGAATCTAAAATTGCATGTCTAACAGACATATTAAAAATTAGATGATTATGAAGCCTAAATTCTATTGAAACTCAATGGCAGTTAAAGTAAATGGCCTCTGAAAGCAGTATATAAAGTATGGAAGCATTTTTTCTTGAATGATTCGCCACAACTAATAAACGAATATATAAGTATTACCAAACACTGGAATTTGTGTGTATTCTATTAATATAGGCTTTACATACCAATTATGTAAACAGACCAGCAAACTAATCTGGATCTAAAAAGAAAGTAGCTTGTAACTTTTAAAAGAACAACCTATTTCCACTGGAGACTTGAACAAAAAGGACTGTACTGCCAAAGCACATAGATACAGTCACAGCTTTATCGGCAATATTGTTCTGAAGGTAATTCTCCTTTAGATTCATTCTGTCCACCTCCAGTTACTACAGTTTGACACCTTGTTAGATGATGAGCCCACACTCCCTAAACTAGTGGTTATGGGAGAATCTGGAAAGACATTCTGGAACTTAAAAAGCGGGAAAAGGAAGACCAGGGAACTACAGGCTGGCCAGTCTCACCTCAGTGCCTGGAGCAGATCCTCCTATAAACTATGCTAAGGCACACAGAAAATAATGGGGTGCTGGGTTTTGTGTTCTTCTCCAGGTAGCTCCCCAGCCTCCTCTCTATCCTGCGATACCAGTTACTCACCAGAATACGAGCACTTCATTGTCAAGTCACCAATTCTTTCCTAAATGTTAGTATCTCCCCCCAAAAAGTTCAGCTTTTTGTTCCTCAAAACTGAATGTTGGGTTTTGGGGGATGGGGGAAGTGACATGTTTCAGGGGATACAGAATAGCAAGGTGCATCCAAGAAAAATACTAGCACCTAGTAACAATAAGTTAAAAAAAAAAAAAAAAAAAAAAAAAGAATGCTTTGCCAGAAGGCAGTTCAAAAACAACAATAAAAACCAAACCATCACCACCACTACTTCCTAATCTGTCAAACCGCAACTTTCTCATCTCCCTGGATACTTGTTTTTTCTCTCTCTGCAATATTCTTACTGTACATATCAGGAAACTACTTTTGCAAAAGAATATCCTACTATGACCACTTACCAAGTTTCAGTTCACAGCGAAGGACAGTTCCAGAAAGTGTGAATGGCATTGCTTCCAGATGAAAGATGAACACCAAGAGTACAGTATTCATGCTCTTAAAGAGACCAGGCTAGTCCAAGGCAAAATCCCCAGCCCACACATGGTGTGAACATCATACCTTCAATACAAACTAGTTTGTTCAGCAAATTCACTCCTATGGACCTCACTACTTGCTAAGGTAGACGTTGCTTTAGTTCCTTATCAGTAAATGAACAAGACAGTGAAAACTACTACATGTTAAGCTACTAACTACATAACTAAGTCTTGTAAACCCACGGAACTATTTATTTTCCTTTTCAGGTGACTTGCAAGTCACACTGTCTGGTATTTGCAGTATTATCAGTCTTATTTCTCTTATGCAGATGTGTGAATGACACCAGAGAGGATGGTGGGAAGTAAACTATGTAACAAGCTCTAGGGCAACAAAAATTTAAGTGACAGACACTCTGAAATTATAGTACTTAAAGCTTCAGAGGAGAGGGATGACAAGGATGAAGTCTGCAGTGGACAGGGAGAATATCTTACAACTGAGTCATTTTTATCACCTAGGGTATGGCTGTCTTCCCATGGCTGAACAGAAGTCACAGCATCTCAAAATCTAAAGTCCATACTTGCAAACAGCTTTCTAAGGGATTTACTTCCAACTTGACAACAGATCTATGGTCAGTTACCTTGTAACTGCCTGTATACAGCTAGCCTCAGAATTCAGATGGGAAGGAGGCAAGAAGAGACAAGATTCAGAAATTTTCCTCCCACTGTACAATGGCACAGTATCTAGATACATTTCATTGAAGACCTTCTAATTAAAAAAACCCCAAACTGTTTTTCGAATTATTAAAAGACCCGTTAGGTATATCTATGATAAGTCAGTTACAATTCTCTTGTCTCTTTGCCCTTTATTTATGTTTTTATTGTCTATATTTTAAATGTAGTAGTTTAACATTCCTAAATATTTTGGCTTAAGGACAGCATAGACTCTATTCATGAAACATGGAAATGTGTTTGTAACAACTTCCTCTAATCTTAAAAAAAGCAAACATCATTAAAAGTCCTCAACAACTATTAGAATGCTGTCTGCTTCCCGACCCAAGAAACATATCAGGACAAAAGGATATAAAGAAAAAGAATAAAGCTCTCAATACAGGGAAGTAGAGTTCAGAAAACTGCATTTTCTTCCAATATAGGTTTAATGTAAATAAAGGAGGATTTCATGCATGCCATTACAGATCTCACTAGAACAAAAACTTAAGGGCTAGAAAAGGTAAATCCAAAAGTTATCAGCAATAACTGCTTAGAAGAACAAACTTCAGAGAACCAGGTAAAACTGATTCTCTGAACTGGTTCAGAAGTACTCGGAAAAGTTCATTTCTGCTCAGTCTTTATTCTGTCTGATACTTCTCAGACTACAACAATGAACTAAAAGTTCTTACATTATTGTTTGGTTTTTTTATCACCTGGAAAAATATGTTTATTCGTTTAATTTTTAACTTCAATTCACACTATAACTTTCAGTTTCAGAATGAGGAAGCTTAAGCCTTTACTAAATGTGATAGAAAGGTACAGTTACTTACGCTTCATTAAGGGGAACAAAAATGAAATCTTTCTCAAAAATGTCAACATGTCGTGTCCATGTTTTTACTCGCCCGTGTCGTTTTTGTTGTATTCTGCAAGAAAAGCACAGGATTTATAGGGTGGCTTATTTTTATTGAAAGACTACTTTTTCAGATATTTTCACCTTAACAGCTTCTTAAGATTTTCAAGCTGTATTTTATGTTTGCTATAGGTCTGGATGCTTCCTAGAATTCTGTTGGTATCATAATATTGTCTGTAAGGCTTTTGCCTCTGTAAGGCATCTCTTCTTGTAGTCTTCCCTCTACTTAGCTCTTAGTTAAACTGACTTATCAACAGACTTACGAAAGGTTTGAAGTTTCATGAATATTTCTCCTTTCCCTTTGATTAAGGCGTTTATAGAAGAATGAGCTGAACACATGTATTCTATCAGCATCTTCTTTTTTCAGTTTTTCAAGTACCAAATATCTAATTAGTCAAAAAAAGAAAAAGAAAAAAATTAATGGAGGTGAATTCATCAACGTATTCATCACCAAAGTAAAAAGGACTGCCAACAGTGCTACCTCCCCACCACATTGTTACTGCCTTTCACACAAGAATATCAGAGCAAACCAACCACAGGAACTAATTAATGCAAAATCTGTGTCAATGTTTCAAGATATTAAGTGCTCTGCTCAATCCACAAATTGTTTCACTGCTGCTGTATTTATTTTTTTATCATGGCAGGAACACAAATTTTCAGTAAGTATATCACATAAAGACATAACGAATACATAAAGAATCTAGGAAAGATTCATAGGTTGTAACTGAGCCACTAAATCTCCAAACACTCCCAAGAGCGATGCACTAATTTTTTTTTCACTCTAAAATGTTTTAGTAGAATGAAAATTATACACAGCCTCACGTAACAATTTAATATGCTTCTAATAGCTGTAGCATCAGTGACACAAAAAACCCATAATGTACTATGTTAACCAGAACAAATGAAATTCCATGGAACACAAATACTCTGGAAAAAAAAACCCCAACACCTGAACTTAAAAAAAATGCCTTTTTTTCTCTTTGCAGTTAAAATTCCCCTTCAGATGCTAAGAAATTTTAAAGAACCTTTCTTCCAAGTGAGAACAACGTCACTGTCAAGCAGGATAGGAGAGGAACCAAAATTTCTAGCAAAGATACAAACCAACCTTTTATATTAGAGCTATATATACTTGGAGACCAAGTATTAGCAACTGACCCATGAATTTTTAGTGTAAGAATTTTTCAAGTTTCAGAGTAAAAGACAACTAAAAACTGATCTGAAATAAAACTTACTTTAAATAAAAATCAATAATAACATCATTTAAAAACTCTCCTTCATTTAGACAATGGAGGTCTTCGTTGGTCACAGAAATACCACCTTTAGCTGGAGGAGGTGGATAAACTATCAACCTGAAAAGAAAAATACAAAATGTAATCAATAATAAGTATGACAGGCTGAAAAAAACCTCAGAGAATTGATACAGGGCAAAGATAAACATCTTACTTTTCAATAGGACCAATAAATACTGTATGTGGTTCTCCAATTTCTTCATCATCATCAAAATATGGTAACTGTTTATTTCTCTGCTGCATTTTGGATTCAGAAGCAACCTTAAAAGAATAAAGTCAGTATCAATTTGCATACTGTGCTCAAATTTACCAAAATGGTAATAAAGCTTTATGAATCCAGCAGTGCAATACCGATTGCTTTTGAGAAGACTTCAAGTTTTTTGCTGTTTTTTTTTTTTTTACTTTCCTAATTAATTTCTTGCATTTAGATCTGTTCTTATTTCTTGCAGAGTCGCAAATCTTTCAAATTCTTTAATAGGAAGTTTTGGTTAAAGAAAGCACTGATTAAATTTAACTACAACACTGAAACTTAATTTCTTGTTTGAAATACTACCATTTTACCAGTAGATTAATTTGGAAACAATCATGTTGCCTAACTATAGTACAAATTTCTCATCCCTTAGTAATTTTTAAATTACAACATTAGTTGTGGACCATTGTACAACCTTATGATAAAACTAAACACACTAAAAAGTATTGTGAATGCACAGACTATTTCCCAAGTTTCATACCCACCATGAGACAGTCTCAGAATCCTTATATAAGAGCCAGAAGAAATTGTTGGCAATTCTGGGGGGTCTAATGACTAGCACACTATCTTTAGTGTATTTGTAACCCAAATAACATAATGACTTTGACAAAAACATAATTACATTTTTTATTTTGTTTTCTCTGTGAGATGGGCTTCCTTTGGAATTGTCTTCCAAGCACTTGGTAAAAGCAACAAGCCTGCCATTGGCTTCTTCAAAGGAAATTTTCACAAAGAAGTCAGAAATATTATTTCTAATACCAATGTCAGTAATGATTTTTTCAAATATTGAGTTTGCATGAGGATCAAGACCAGTTTCAAAAATTAAAATGATATACTGTTCTTCTTGACCTACAAAAAAGCAGAGAAAATTATTCATTTAGAAACAAAGTATGTTGCAAGTATGAGCAGATTTCAAAGACTCATGCACCAACACCAGCACCCGTTGTTGACAGCATATGCAAGCAATAATACACATGTATGCAGAGAGACAGAAGAATTAACTACCAAGCCCTTCTACCTACATTTGCAAAAAAAGTGCATTCTACTTCTGCCCTAATTTAGAAATGTTAATTATTACACCTGACAGATTTTTAACAGACATTGAATACAAACCCAAAACACATTCTGAAATAACAGCTTCTCTGCTTAATGACAGTAGGACTCTGTAATCAATACGCTCTCTTTTTCTTATTATAGTTCCTATCTTATTGTTTCAATACAATTCCAGAAATTATGCATTCAGCACAATTCCCCCTCTATATACGGAAACACCATGCCTTAGTTTCTCGCAGGCCAGTACTAAAAAGTCTAAAGCAGCTATCTCTCTCAAAAAAAACCCCAAACTAAGAAATCAATCTGTGATTGATATATATTCATTTGTGGAAATTTATTAGAAAAGGAGAACTGTATCAAGAATGTAGAGGGGCTTTTGTGGTCTCAATGTTTATTATAAAAATGGTTTTCATCTACTTAACCCCTTCAACATCTATGTGTTATTTATTTTAAAATATTTCTGCCTGGTTTTCTCCTACTTTCAAATAGATGTGATTACAAAAGGGAAAATAAAAAGGGAGAACTAAGAAAACATATGCTAAATAAACCAAAACCAGTGTATGAAATCCCATGGTTCGGGTAGATTCATGGTCTGTCCTGATCTTAGAAGGCTACATTATTGCTTTTTGACAATCTTACATACTAAAGTCGCCACAGCATATATGACCCTAGCCTTTTAGCTAAAACAGTCTGCAAGAATCATTTTTACATGGATACACAGCACTGATATCTACATGTCAGCTCTTTCACACAACAAGAGATTGTGAGAAACAGTGACTGATTGGGGCAGCTACCAAGTAGGAAACAAAACTTAAAACCACTGCTTAGAGACTAAACTGAATAGAATACTGAGGAGGGAGAAAACGTATATTTTTGAGATGACTCGTTCCAGACTTAAATGGGAAAATAAGCATGATGCTTTTTGAAATGGTGGATATAAACCATATGCTACATATTAGAAGCACAAAGTTCTAACAAAACTACTGTTAGTGATTCTAGGCACATGTTGTAGGTACAAAAGTACAAGAACCTGTAATGGAAATTTCATGAAACAAAGTTCTTTTTCTCTGATCAGATTTCTGTTACCATAGAAACAGAAATCTCTTAAGGATCTCCAATCCACTGGCAACCAGTTTCATTTCTAACAAGTACACATCTAAAGAAGGAAAGGAATTGAAAATGTCACAGTAATCAAAATCTTCATCTCCTTACACAGGTAAGCGGATCTCACCACCCAGAAGAGCAAAGCCCTGCTTTCGGGTCCTGTAACATAAACAATCTAAAACCTCTCTGTCCATGGTCAACATTCTGTGAGCAGAATACCGCATTCTCTCATGCTTACTCTTGCTAGCCCTAATAAATCTGGCATTTTTTTGGTACAGTGACTTCAACAGGTCAGCCTACCCCTGTACCAAAAGTTGGAGAATGTGTGTCAGATCAGTCAGCTATTGTGTAAATACCACCTGTTCACACAACCTTAAAAAATAAAAAAAAGCAGTAAATTGCACTCGGAGGAATTACTTAAGACAGCCAGACACAGGAATGGGATTCAGGCTGCAAATCCCAGTCTCACATAGCTGGCTAACTCAGAGCTGCAGGGACCTGTTTTTCTATAAGCCAAGAAGTGTTTCAGACACATGCATAACCATTTCTTCTTGGTTATTTTTAACTGTCCCAAAAAATAATTCTTCAGCAGCATATTTCCCAATTCACCACCTACAGAATTTAGATGGATAACTGGGTTTTGAGAGGTCCTATTTTGGGAACACACACACACAATTGCTTACACAGCTATGGATTCAGGCTTACAGTAATTTCACTGCTCACAAAGCAAATAGCAACTGTCTTACAGCAAAGTACTCCTAAGCATCAAGTACAATAAAGCAGTTAGGTATAAAACTAGCTCAGCGCCACAGCCTCAGAGGGAAAAGCTGGGGAGATAAAGGCTGAGAGACATGAAGGAAGGGGTTCTTACCCAGACAACTCAGGAAGCTTTCTTTTTTGACTTGTGAACACCTGTGTTCACTTGGGGTCTAATGCCTGCACCCAGGCTTGCCTGTAGCTCCCCCACGTGCTAATTACTTTATAATTATAATACTCCTTACAGTTCATACTTTTTATAGGAAGTAGATGAGGTTATGATAATAGTATTATGTGTTAGAAGCACACAATTCTGAGATTGTTGAAAGCATTCTTCCTTCATTTGAATGCATCATGTATCTATGAAGCTGAGTGTAAGTATAAATAATCACAAAATTTAACCTAAAGAAAAGCTTATTTAAGGGGAAGAGGACTATGCTAATTTAGAATAAACCAGTGTGCGTATTAAGACGTTATACCCTTGAGGAAAACTATGTTGAAATTAACTTTAAGATACCTGAAGACAGTCTACTTAGTTTCCAAGCAGGCGTTTGTCTACATCACAAAATCACTACAAGTATATTGGGAAAAATAACAAGCCAACTCACAGTTTCTATTGAAACTCAGGCCTAGTAAGCAGAGCAGCACAGAAAGCAGAAGGAAGTATACCCAAAACTGTCCTATACACATAAAGGCCCAAAAGCTAAACAGACTTACTTTCACATTCAGTACAAATATTAGTGGAAAAAAGTTATACTAAACTGACTAACTGTTGTAACTAGCACATGTCTGGACAGACAGAAGACTACAGTTTTACCAAGCCATTCTGAACTGTTCTCCTCATCAGCCTGGGAAGGTGACAGCGTCTGGAAAAACAAGACAGCTGCCCCAGCCAATGATGCCAATTTTAGTGCTTTATGCAGTCTGTAATGATGCAAAACATTAAAAAGCAATTTAAAGAGAATAGTAAACTAAAATTGTTTTACTTACTGTCTCCTTTACATTCGTACCAGACATTATCTTTACTCATTTTCAGTTGTTCTCTCAGGCTACTACAGGTTGATGGTACTGTTTGTAAGAAAACTACTGGCAATTTTCGTACACTACACCATTCACATTTGGTAAGTTCTGAAGTTTTCAGGTTAATCTCTCGGATATCACTTTCTGATTCTAGAAGAAAATAATGACATTATATTGAATTATAGTAAAAATACATAGGTTTCCTTTGCAATTTCCCCCTTGATTTTAACAAGGAATCAGTATGTGCTCAGTAACTTTCTAAAAAGTTTTTTAATATCTGAAATTAACCCATATTTAGGAAGTGATGCCTGTTAATATCTTAAAAGACAAACTGAATTCCATTCTTACCTGTCATGAAAGTAACCAGAAACAAACTGTTTTATTCTCACCAACTTTAATCCAGTTTTCATTCCACAGAAAAAAACCCATTTCCAGTGATTTAAATCACTTTGATCAAGCTCCCTTATGAAAAATAACTTCAAAATTAAGAGAATAAACACACGCAGAGAAACATGATTGTCTGAGGAAAAGGTACTGTTCTCAATTTACAACTGAAGAGAAAGCGTCAGCAACTTGGTCAATTTTTAACAATACATCTGATGATTGGCAATGCCAATGTTGAGTGTTTTACAGGTTTGACTGAATTATAAAAACGGAAGGGAAAATGTGTGAAGTCAAAGCTCTTTGAATTTGTGAAAAGGCCCAAAAGTTCAGTGCCAGTAATTATGCCAGGATCAGAAAAATGATTACTGGTCATCAGTTAAAGCTTTATTTAGCAGCAGCCTCCACCACATAAAGTATGTAGGGACCAAACCATAGACAGGACAGAAGGAGAAATGGAGCCAACATAAAGTCCTTCTAACAAAGATCAATGCTACGAGTGTGCCTCCTCCTCCTTTCAGTGCAGGGAATTCCTGAAAAGACTAAGGCTTTTACTAAGTTAAATTCTAATAAATATTTCATGGTCAGACAGACGGTGAGTGAAAATTAGTAAAACTATTACCACCTAATCCGCATCACCCTGAACATATCTGCAGAAAACCATACGATAAAAAAAAATAAAGACTATACTGTACATCCTCCTTTCTGCTGGCTACTGAATTCACCCCTGTGCTCCCCTAAAGGGAGTCTGCTGCTTGTAAAGACAGAGCAAATAGTTACCCAACACAAGTATTCACTGGCAGACTGGAAGTGGTGGCCACCAGAGCTTCTGCAGAGCAAAGCAGCTCTCCTTTCTTCTAAACCTCCAATACTCCTGGTCCCACTAACTGGGGAAGAAGCAGCCCAGCTCTGAGTCAGGCTGCAGCAACAACATGCTCCCGTAAAACCCACTGGGAAGCAGAAATATACTACATGTATCTAACTAGTCCACCTCCTTGCATTGATTCTCCTTTCTTTCCCT